CTTCCCAGTACTACTTTGTAAGGCAGTGCTTGCACAAAGTACTTCCCAATACTACTTTGTACTACAAAGCTTGCACAAGGCACTTACCAGTACTACTTTGTACTGCAGTGCTTGCACAATCTTCTTCCCAATACTTCTTTGTACTACAGTGCTTGCACAAGGCACTTACCAGTACTACTTTGTACTGCAGTGCTTGCACAAAGTACCTCCCAGTACTACCTTGTACTACAAAGCTTGCACAAGGCACTTCCAAGTACTACTTTGTAGTACAAGGCTTGCACAAGGCACTTCCCCGTACTACTTTGTACTACGAAGCTTGCACAAGGCACTTCCCGGTATCACTTGGTACTGCAAAGCTTGCACAAGGCACTTACCAGTACTACTTTGTCCTCCTTAGCTTGCGCAGAGTAGTTCCCAGTATTTACTACTTTGTATTACAATGCTTGCACAAAGTACTTCCCAGCACTTCTTGGTGCTACAAAGTTTGCACAAAGTACTTCCCAGTACTACACTGCAGTCCACACTCCACACTTCACACTCCACACTTCACACTCCACACTTCACACTTCACCTTTCACACTTCAAACTCCACACTCCACACTTCACACTTCACACTTCACACTCCACACTCCAAACTCTCCGCGTCACGCTTCACACTTAACACTCCGCACTTCACCTTTCACCTTTCACTCTTTACACTCCACACTTCACACTCCACAACTTACTCTCCACACTACACACTGCAAACACTCCACATCACACTTCACACTTTCCACTCCACACTCTCCAATCCACACTTCACACTTCACACTCCACACTTCACACTTCACAATTTATACTCCACACTTCGCACTTTACACTCCACACTTTACACTTCACACTCTCCACTCCACTCTCTGCACTTCACACTCCACACTTCACACTCCACACTTCGCACTCCACACTTCACCTTTCACACTTCACACTTCACACTCCACAATTTATTTTTCACAATCCACACTGCAAACTCTCCACTTCACACTTCACACTCCACAATTTATTTTTCACAATCCACACTGCAAACTCTCCACTTCACACTTCACACTCTTCACACTATTTACACTCTTCACCCTCCACGCTTCACACTCACACTCCACACTTCACACTTCACCTTTCACACTTCAAACTCCACACTTCACACTTCACTCTCCACACTCCAAAGTCTCCGCGTCACACTTCACACTTCACACTCCACACTTCACACTGCACACTTCACACGCCACACTCCACACTCCACTCCACATCACTTCACACTTCACACTTCACACTTCACGCTCCACACTTCACACTTCAATCTCTGCACTTTCCACTCTCTCCACTCTCTCCACACTCTCCAGACTCTGCCCTTCGCACTCCACACTTCACACTTCACACGTCGCACTCCACACTCCGCTCCACTCCACTCCACTCCACTTCACAATTCACACTTCACACTTCACACTGCGCACCTGGCACTGCACACTTCACACTTCACACTCTACACTTCACACTTCACACTCCACACTTCGCACCCCACACTCCACACTTCACTTTACTGCGCGCTTCACACTCCACACTTGACACTTTACACTCTCCACCCTCCACTCCACACTCCACACTCTGCACACCACAGTCCTCACTTCACACCTCTTACCCCACACACCACACTTCACTCTTCACAGTCCACACTCCACACTTCACACTTCACACTCCACACTTTCCACTCCACACTCTCCACTCCACACTTCACAGTGCACACTTCAATCTTCACACTTCGCACTCCACACTCCACTCTTCACACTTCACACGTCACATTCCACACTTCACACGCCACACTCTACACTTAGAACATCCGAAGTCTCTAGGATGAAGGTTTTTCAAAATAATATGTTCTTATTATTGTGTTACGTTTCAGATTTGACTTTTTGTTATAAAATTGTTTCTGGCGTGGTTTTGCCGTTATGATGTTGATACGTGATTTTGATATGGTTTCAGTTATGATTCTTGATGTGGGTCAAACTTGTGATTTGAAGCCAACCCATCGGAACCATATCCAAAATCGTATCAAAACCAAATCAAAAGCGTATCAAAATCGTATCAAAAGCGTATCAAAATCATATCAAAACCATATCAAAGTCATACCAAAACCACAAAAACCCGCGAAAAATCGACCAAAAACCTGCCCCTGGGCTGTTTCGGTTTCTTTTTGAAGCCAACTCACTGGAACCATATCAAAAAAACATATCAATGATATCAAAATCAAATCAAAATCGTATCAAAAGCGTATCATAATCAAACCATATCAAAATCAAATCAAAACAACAAAAACCCGCGAAAAATCGACCAAAAACCTGTCCCTGGGCTGTTTCTGTTTCTTTTTTTGAAGCCAACTCACTGGAACCATATCAAAACAGTATCAAAATCACATCAAAATCGTATCAAAATCGTATCAAAACATCAAAACCACAGCAAAATCATATCAAAACCACCAAAACCCTCGAGAAATCGACCAAAAGGCTGCCCCGGGGCTGTTTCCGTTTCCTTTCTTGAAGCCAACCCGTCAGGAACCCTGCAAAAGGCGCTCCGTTCCCAAACCATATCAAACCATATCAAAATCACATCCAAAACCATATCAAAAACATAAACATAACAAAACCATATCGAAATCATAAGCCCAAATTCAAAGCGTATCAAATTCATATTTTCAAATCGTATCAAAAACCATATTAAAATCGTAAAAAACAAATATTTTCTGAATTCGGCATCCTAGAGGGATTCACACTCAACACTTCAAACCTCGCACTCTCCACTGCACACTTCACACTTCACACTCCACGCTCAACACTCCACTCTTCACACTCCTCACTTCACACTCCACACTTCACACTCGACACTTCACACTCCAGACTTCACACTTCACCCTTGACACTTCACACTCCACACTTCACACTTCAAATTACCCACTTCACACTCCACACGTCACACTTCACACTCCACACTTGACACCACTCCACACTCCACACATCGCACTCCACACTTCACCTTTTACACTTTACACACCTCACTCCACACTCCACACTTCACACTTCACCTTTCACTCTTCACACTCAACTTTTCACACTCCACAATTTACTCTTCACGCTCCACACTTCACACTTCACGCTCCACTCTTCACACTGCACACTTCACACTTCACACTTCACACGTCACACTCCACACTCCGCACTCCACACTTCACACTCCACTCCACATCACTTCACACTTCACGCTTCACACTCCACACTTCACACTTCAAACTCTCCACTCCACACTCTGCACTTTGCACTCCACACTTCACACTGCGCACCTGGCACTGCACACTTCACACTTCACACTTTACACTTCACACCCCACACTCCACACTTTACTTCACTGCGCGCTTCACGGTCTTCCACACTTCACACACCACACTTCACACTTCACAGTCCACTCCACACTCCACACTTCACACTTCACAAGTCTCACTCCACACTTCTCACTCCACACTTCACCCTTGACACCTCACACTCCACAACTTCACACTCCACACTTCGCACTTCAGACTCTCCACTCCACACTTCACACTCCACACTTCACACTTCCCACCACTCCGCACTTCACACTGCACACTTCACACTCTCCACTTCACGCTCTAAACTCCACACTCCACACTTCACACACCACACTACACACTTCAAACTCCACACTTGTCACCCCACACTTCGCTCTCCACACTTCACACTGCACACTTCACACTTCACCCTTCACACTTCACACTTAACACTTCAAACTCTCCACTTCACACTCCACACTTCACACTTACCACTGCACACTTCACACTCCACACTTCACACTCTCCACTCCACTCACTCTAAACTCCACACTCCACGCTTCACACTTCACCTTTCACTCTTCACACTCCACACTTCACACCCCACACTTCACAATCCACACTCCACACTGCAAACTCTCCACTTCACACTTCGCACTCTTCACACTTTTCACACTCTTCACACTCCACACTTCACACTCCACACTTCACACTCCACAATTCCCACTCCACACTCTACACTCTCCACTCCACACTTCACTCTTCACACTCCACACTTCACACTTCAAACTCTCCACTCCACACTCCACACTTCACACCACTGCACACTTTACACTCCACACTTTACACTATCCACTCCACACTCTAACCTCTACATTCCACACTTCAGACACCACACTTCACATTTCACACTCCACACTGCACACTCCATTCTTCACACTTCACACTCTCCACTCCACACTTAATGCAAGACGATTCTCCGTTTGCTGAATTTCCACTTTTTTACCTCATGCCAAGACCTCGTACCAGGGCATCCAAGATAATTTCACAAAATCGTCAAAGAAGGATCTTCTAGGGGATCTTATTTACAAAGATCAGGACCTCGACAAGACCTTGGTCAAAATCTTCATATCAAGTACCTGTAAGAGCGCTCTACGAAACTTTCCCAAAATCGTCATTTTTGCCAGGATCTTCAAGAATCAACTAAAATTAAAATGAGCACCGCATTCAAAACCCGCAAACTAGACCGCGCACCCTGAACGAACCCGGCTTTTACATTCGCGGCAAGAACCCCTCAGTGTGGACACACTGTTTGGGTAACAAATCTATTTACGACTTGGTTTTGGGGAATGCATGCATCTGACCCCTGTGAATAAAGTGTTTTCTCCTTAATTTTCAACGAAATAAATCCAAAGTGGGAAACCCTTTGGCGTTTGTTCTTCTCAGGTTCTTTGTTTTAACAGGTTCTTTAGAAGAGACATGAAAAAACTATATAACGACATATTTCTTCAAAACTAGTAGCTGCTGATTTTGTATGGTTCAACATTTCCCAGCAATGATGTTGAAACCGTTGGATTAATAACCAGGACGGGATGATGTACTACGGTTTGCTGCCACGGGCGCATGGAACCAGGCACCGGAGTCCTTCGGCGACATGTGGGGCACTGAACAGACGACATTGATACCGACTTTCATTTTTTTTGGTGGTAGTACCCTGGTTATTTTTTTTGACCAACCAGGGTTCAGCAAGAACCTGCCTTAACATGACAAGACTTTGGCCAACACCAGATTCGGCCGATGTTGGCGGGTGTGAGTTGAGTAGAGTTGAGCCGCGAAATGAGGTAGCAATGGACACATCTTGAATTCATAATTCGGGGATTCCCTCGCAGGAAAGTCCAAAGTCATCCCGAATTCCAAAAATGGGTAAACACGCTACAGTTGGGGTCGCTTCACACGTTTGAAAACTTAGTGAAATTGTTGAAAACCTTTGGGTTTGTTTGAAGACAGTCAGACAAAGTACACAAATCCCATGGTTTCATTTTTGTTTATTGCCATAAATTGTGGGGCACCTACCCGACCTGTGGAGAAACCTTCTTTGTTGGAAATGCCACTGATCACTGAGGGCCACCAGTCGTACCAAAAGGGCTGCTACGCCAGGCGTGGGTTGTGCTGGAAGGACACGTCATGTTTTGGTGGAATACTTCAAGGTTTTTGATCAAAGTGGGTTGGTTTCCATGGCTCACGAATACAAAGTTGAGCAATGTGGAAGGTACAAACAATTTCTTCGATGTTTTTGTTTTCACCTGGCAGAACTGTGTTCGGATCAACTTGTATACAGGGGATACTTGTGCTAGCATCTTATAAACCCTTTATCATTCCTGGTTGGATACTGTCATTCACTTTTGCTAATTGCCTCGCCCCATTCTTGGTAGTTGCATCCCCTCATTCCCCTCATGTTCAGTGATTCCACTGTATGCATTGGTTGTCTATCTACGTCATTGTATTTGATTGGCACTTTCGGTGATTTTACTGGTTGTACCACTCAGCTTCCCCGCGATATGCTGAGTATATTTTTCTGGGTACCTGTACTTCCCGCGTCATTGGTTGCTTCCTAGCTGCTAGTAGCACTAATGAGCAACTTTTCACTGGGTGAATGGCAACCGCCACCTTTTGGGGTTTCCATCCAGTGGATTTAGGGATAGACAAAACATGACAAAACCATGTCAGCAAACAATGTATATAGATGGGTTTATGTGCACAACACAGGGTATGACTCACCTAGGGTATGAAGACTTTAAAACCAATTTCCCGCATTCAATATACCCGTGGATTGCTGGACAGACCTACATCTTGGTGGTTATGTCCCATTATGTCCCCATAAGACTTCCAGTCTTTATTCGATAGCACCGTAGCCCCAGTTTCGATGTCAACTTCTTCCAATTTTTGTTCCCCACATTGACGTGTGGGGTTTTTGTTTTTAGTTCTGTATCCGCGCCTCCTCCTTCCCGTCCTCCTCCCTCACTCACTCACTCACTCACTCTCCCTCCCTCCCTCCCTCCCTCCCTCCCTCCCTCCTCCCTACCTCCCTCCTTCCCTCGCTCGCTCGCTCGCTCACTCACCTTGCTGATGCTTGTTTGTTGCCCCTGTTGCCCTTTGATGTTGCGCTTTTACAGTTAGGTAAGTAAGAAAAAGCAAACGTGTGAAACCTGACTTCCAGAGTTTGTCAGCCCGCTCTCTCCTGATTACTTGAAATAATATTTGTTTAAAAGGACATTGTAAGGAGGCGCCCTGAAGCCTCCTGAAAATTTTCAAATGCCATTGAACCTCGTGGATCTGGCCAAGGAGGCGCCATGGCCAGTCTCCTGGTTGTCAATGATCCATGACCCATGTCCACGACAAGGTGGCAGATGGTCAGTGAAGGAGGCGTGTCTCCTAATAAGGAGGCGCGACTCCTGACCAATCTAAGTTAAGGCGGCGTGCGTCTCCTGGTCCTTGGTCTGATGACATGAATGTCAAGTGACACGGAGGCGCGCGCCTCCTGCCCATTGCCCTAAGTTAGTCGAGATGGGAAGGAAGGCGCGTGTCTCCTCAAGACAAGGAGGCGCGCGCCTCCTGTCCATTGACAAGGGAGTTTGAGATGGGAAGGAAGGCGCGCGTCTCCTAAAGTTAAGGCGGCGCGCGTCTCCTGAAAGCTAAGCAAATCGTCGTCTAGAGAATCGTTGGCAGTTGCTTCGAAAATTTTGTTTTCATTGCAGCTGTTGGATCTCAAGTGATTTGCCCCTGTCCCTCACCTGACTGGAAGTAGCCATGCGCAGCTCTGCACTGTGGCTGGCGGCGCTGATGGTGATAGCCTTGGCAGCGCCAGGCGAGTCTGAAGGAGGGCCTCCCCCTGGTCCTCCTGCAGACCCGCTCCAGGCCTTGGCTGCAAGCCTGTGGGGTTACCTGGCGCGGCCTCCGCCTCCTACAGGCAGTGCCCCTGGCACTGGGGGGTCTGGCCCGGCGACAACGCCTATGGCGACAACGCCTATGGCGCCAACAGCCGGGGCGGGCATGGCAGCCGGACCACCAGGTGGACCAATGGGCGAGGCGGGTTTGGCAGCCAAAGCCCCGCCACTACTGCCAAGCGGCACGCCCATGACGCCACCGCCTCCTGGGCACATGGACCCACCTGGTAGTTCTGGGCCGCCGCCGTGGAGAAGTATGGCGCCGCCTGTGGCAAAAGCTGTCATTCCAGACCCTCCTGCTGTCCCCGCCCCTTCCCATACGGCGGAGACTCCTGAGACTCCCCCTGTGGTCGACTTGACTTCAGCTCCGCCGCCGCCTGCAGAGACTATGAACCACACGGTGGACCTAAGAATCTGCAAGCTGTGCCAAAAGCAAACGTACGCTGGCCGAGGCCAATGCTTCAACAAGAACTGCGAGCCTGGGATTTAATTTAGCAGTTTTTATGTTTGGGCGGCCCCCAGTAAATAGGTCTGGTTTTTTCCTTTTCTTCCAATGGATTTTGTTTCTGGTCGCGCCATGCGCCCTCAGGACATCTACTGGAAACCGTCGTCAAAGAAGCGCAAGAAGAGCAACAAGGGCCGGCAGAGAACAATTTGGTACAACAAGCGGGGCCAGTGGGATTGGGAAGACGACGAAGATGAAGATGACGACGACAACTGGCACTACGTCCCACCCAAAAAACCTCTTTGGGATGGGTGGCAAGACTGGTCCCGCGGTGGTGGAGGAGGTCACCACGAAAGAGGGCGCTGGACCTGGTCCTGGGTGTCTACGTGACAGAGACTGACAGCAGCGGGTGGTTAAAAAAAGGGGCGCAAAGCGGCCAAGTGGTTTCGTGGTCTGGTAATGACACTGGGTTGGATATATCAGGGCGGTCTCCTGACACAATGGTCAATGGTCAATGACTGAAGGAGGCTTAGTCGTCATCAATGTTTGCAGACGATCGGGCTTCAAGTCAGGGTCTCCTAGACGAAGGAGGCGGCTGTCAAAGCAAAGCTTTTCGCAGCCAGTGTCAAAGGAGATATGACCTCCGCAATCTCCTGGACAAAGGAGGCGGCTGTCAAGACTGGCTAATAAATCAAGTCGCAGCCAGTCTCCTAGTTCAAAGGAGACTGAGTTCAACTCACACTTCGCTGGTCAAGGACGGTGTTTGGACAGCCGGTGAAAGCCTCTGAGTTTAGAATCAGGAGTTCGAACGGGTTTGCTTCTAAATTTGCACACTTGCAATTCAATTGTTGCTTTGCTTGCCCAAAAAAACAGGTTGGCCAGGGAAGTTTGAAACTTTGACTTTGTAGTGTTTAGACAGTATCTTGCAGCCATGCCGTCTTCAACAGTGATCAAAGAGACCGTGAAGAAGGAAGCGACAATCTTGCCCTTGAAGAGTGACAGCTGCTTTCCTCTGAATCCTGAAGCCCTGACGAAACAGAAGAACATGCTCAAAAACATGTCTACAAAGGGCCTCCAAGCGAAATGGGGCTACCTCAAAAATTGTTCGCCTTTCAAGAACCAGGCGCGAACTCTGGCCAGAAAAATCGAAAAAGAGCTGATCCGGCGGGGCGTCATGGTAGAAGATGACGATGACGAGTCGACGCTGACTGAGGGAAGTTGGTGCGGTAGTTGAATTGGGCACAATTAATTAAATTAAGATTTAATTCATTTGTCATGGCCTGATGCAGTCACCCCGAGTTTTCACCCGGAAGTGGCCAAAGTTGCTTTGATAGCCGTCTTGGGAGAAAAAAAAGGGGAGCCCACAGCCGCGATGCGTTGGGGGTAGTATAGCAACGCGGGTAGAAACTTCCACGTCATTCAGAACAGCCACGCTTGCTTGGAAGATTTTTTCTGATGTGTGCTGCAGACTGGCTTGACATTGAGGCATCCAGGGGTCATGGCTCTGCCTGCCAAAATCGTGCCTGATGTGACGCTAGTGTCGCCGTCTTCAAAGAAATTGGTGGAACATGGGCAGCGTTGCCAGACTTCAGACAACGCTTGGCTGCTCAAGGGTTCATTTTGGAGGAGAAAATTTCCTTGGCTGCGGGCAGGTTTTGCGGGCAATAGCAACATTTTGACAGTGGGGTGCAAAATTTGCGCGCTGCATGCTGCCAAGTTTACTGCAGCCGGGAGTGATACTTCGCAGCTTTCCCCTTATGCCACTTTCTCAGTTCGGCCCGAAGTCACTTGGAAGAGCTGGAGGTTTCGGCACCATGCCCAATCCAAGTACCACATTGCCGCTCATGCAGCTGATCCAACTTCTCATGCCCCTGCTGCTGAAGAATGGCAAGACCTCGTGCGCAAGCTGAGCAGAGGACATTCTCAGCGCGACAAAGGGGACGGAACACCATCGACCCGAACCAAGTTGATGCACTATTGCCTTTCCGAAGCTATCTTGCACGCTTACCGCGTCTTCCTGGCCAGTGCCCAAAGCATCACTCTGATGCGGGATGAATCTTGCATTTTCAAGCAAATGTTTCTCATTTAACTCTACTTTGTCGATTTATTATTATCGGGGCCAGACATCCTTAGAACTTTCAGAGTTTGACGTTCCGAGCCCAGGAAAGACAAGGCCGCTTGCTGCTGCGATTTAGGGCAGTGGATGCGAACTTGCGAGTCTGCAGCGGCTGCATTGGGCAGCCTCGCCTGGTTGAAGGTAAGACTTCGGAACACATCGCAAGAGCCACAGTGAAAGCCTTGAAACTATTTTGCACACCTGGCTTTGGTGGGTCAGTGGATGAGGCATTGCTCAGCCACGTTCGGAGCCATGTTCACATCATGGTAACCGATGCTGCGTCAGCTGAATTACTTGCGTCGGATATACTCAGATCTCGGCGCCGGTCAGATCAAGCCGAACTGCAGAGAGATGTTTTTTTCCCAAACATCGTTTTGCTGGGCCGCGATGCAAGCCATGCTCCCCTAGGATCCGGTTAGGTTATAAATAGTCTTTTTAGGTTATCATCCATGATTTCTTGATGATAGTCTATATAGATTATTTCGAAAGCTTATCACGAAATCACGATAAGCTTTTGCAAGGTTAGTCTTTGTTTTTTTTTGGGAAAAAAAGTAGACACACAAGATAATTTGTGAAAATCGGAGAAGGACATGGACACTGGAAACGGAAACGAGATGACGAAAAAACCTGTCTGATTCCAATGACGGAACTTTTTTTCACTCAATGCATGACACTGAAAGTGCAGATTTTCCTTTGAATTAGCGCTTTGAATTAAAGCGAACTTAAAATTGCAGTATTACTGTTGCGCAGAAGGCTGGATCAAATTGTCTTTGATTTCAACCAACAGTCTCTGCAGATAAATTAAAATATATGTTTTATTATTTTGATTAGTTATCACTCTGCATACATGAGTGCAAAGAAATAAGTAGATTAACTTTCCTTTACATCATATTTTTGTGTCAATAAAATTAAAAAATGTTTTGTTGCATTTAAAGTTTGATTAAAGTTTGTTTCAAACTTTAAAAGATTAGATTCAAAGTTTAAATCAAACTTTGAAATTTTATATTCAAAGTTTTAAGCAAACTTTGAATATTAAATTCAAACTTTGAATAAACTTTGAGTAGAAACTTCTTAAAATTTTGAATTCAAAATTCAAAGTTTTAAAGCAAACATTTTAAACTTTGAAGATATATTCAAAGTTTGATTTATAAATTCAAAGTTTCAAATCAGTAATTTAAAACTTGACAAGTTACCTTTCAAAGTTTTAGATGTTTTAATATTAAACTTAAAATAATACCTTCAAAGTTTCTAATGTTAAATTATAAACTTTGAAGGTGAACCTTCAAAGTTTATTATAAACTTTGATTTCTAATTTTAAAGTTTGAACTAAACTTTGAACAAACTTTAAATTCACTTTTTCGATTTATGTAATATTTGTCAAAATTTGCACTAAAAAATCTTTTTTATATATATATATGATAAAACATGTTGGTTAGATACCATATCTACTCACAAGATCTTTCTTTCCATAGTTGCTTGGTTACTTTAGCATCGTGCAATGGCAGGCCTTCCAGGTGCAGATCGTCAAGTAGCTGAAGCCTCCAGACGATATGGCAATAGACAAAAAATGGGAAAATGGAAACAAGGACATCGCAATTACAAAAATGACAAGAAAAAACACGAAAACAAAACTTGAGAACCACATGGAAAAATAAACAAAATCCAATGTACATGTTGCATTAAAAAAATGTTCAATTATAAGATATATAGAAAATACTTCCAAAATTATCAGCATATATGTTCTTCATTCCCTGATAATAGACTATCACCAAGTATGTGATAACCCCCGTAAAGACTATCATAAAATGATGATAACCTAGACTATAACCTGTCTATTAATAACCTAACCGGATCCTAGGGGCTTGCATGAGACTGCTGAAACGGCCTTGGCATGTCATGGATGACGTGAAAGACGCTGTTAGCAGCACAGTCACCAACAAAGAATCCTTGGCGCAAAAGATTTTCCACTCCCCGAACTATTCATTTTGGCTGCAAGAAGCCATTGCCAAAGGTGCCGGCCCCCAGACCAGCAGCTTATCGGCGGCAAAGCACCGCTTCGCGTCCTTTGCCAAACCTCTTGGGAGATTTTGTTTGAATATGAGACCGATATTTGATGTATTACACAAAATTTTGGCTTTGAAGGAAGACTGTGACTGGCTGCACAAGTGGATGGACAACGTCTCTGCCAAGAAATTGCTTCTTGTTGCGGCAGCCGCTGATGCAGCTGATACAGTGATGGAATTTTTGCGGCTGATGGACAATGAATCGCAAGACCCGGCCATTCTGAATTCAGAGGTCCACAGTTTTCTGCGCAATGTAGACATCCAATTTGGACAGCCAGGGCAAGTCTTCGACGTGACTGGATACAGCAAGCATTGTCTAGACCTGTTGCAAGCAGAGCCTGGACTCTATGTCAAGCACAGGGGTCAGCAGAAGAGGCTGAGGGTGTCTGCGGGCGATCGCCGTGCTGTCCTGGAAGCCTTCAAACCGTGGGTTCATTTGTGTCATGAGGCTTGCGAGGCTGAGTTTCCGCATTTCCATCTCTTCTCATCGATGAGCGTCTTGGATCTGCGATCTGGTGGCCGGCTAACAGATGACAGATATGCTTGCCTTCAGCGACTAGCCGTCGCCTTGCAAGTTGATGAGCAAGGGCTGGTCTCCGAGTTTGACGCTCTGCGGCCAGTGGCCATGGCATTCCGAGAACAGCAAGATTGCACTAGCAGGGATGCGTGGAAACAAGCATTCCGAAGAAGCCAAGCATCTTCTGCTTTGAGGGAAAAATATGAAACCAAGAATTTGGCCCCTTTGCTTCAAGCGCATGCCTGCTGGACCACCTCTAGCTCTGGCGTGGAGCAAGCTTTTTCCAAAGCTGAGAGGAGCCATGGAGCTAAGCATTTCGGGCCAAAGGCAGCCGATTCAGAGCGTCGAGCGATGGTGTGCTTGACGTACAATGACTCCCCTGCAGCGTCTTTGGCTTCTGTCGTGGACAAGGCCCGTGCTCTATATGCAGCAAGAGTATCCAGACACCTTGGCAAATACCAAAGGAAGCGCCTAGACAAGGGGGTCAAGACAGGTCCTCGAGCAAAACTTGCCGGCAAAGTCGTGGAGAAGACTTGGATCAAGCGTAGGCGGGCTTCTGTCAGGGCAGCCGCTGCAAGCACTTCAGGGCAAAAACCTGTGGACCACGAAGTTGCGATAGCCAATTTGTCACAGAAAGCTCAGAAGGACAGGGCTGGCTGGTCTTAAAAACTTTCTGTAAAGTCGTCGTTTCTTTGCTACCCTCTGCCAGGAAATTGCCAACTCGCGAGAAACGCTTCTGAAGAAGAAGGTGGAGGCGCGTCGTGATGGCTATTTCCTCGGCTTGGGTGCCGCGGAAGGCTTGAGCTTGGAGCAGGCAGCTGCCAAGAGAGCCAGGGAGGACGCCAAAGCAGATCAGGCCATGCATTTGAAACGGAAGAAGCAAGAATCCCAGCTCCTTTCCACAACGAATGCGCGCACATGGAGATGGCAATCACTAGGGCCAGCCAAGGCATGGTTCGCCACTGGATTGCCTCCCACGGCGTGCGCCCCATTGCTGCAGGAGCAGGACCGGAGCTTTTTACTTTCCAGGCATGGGTGGTTCGGGTTTGTTTTTTTTGCCTCTCGGCCATTTCAAATGCCTAGGACATCCGAGCTGCCTCTGTCTTTGTTGTGGACGATTCAGCTATTCCCTCGAAGGCTTATTTCATGGCCGTGGCAACTGGGGGCTGCATTTTGTCATACTCCTTGCTACTGAAGCGCGCCGGCATCAAATCTCAATACTGCTTGCAGAAGTTGGAGTCTTTGAAACGGAAGTGGCCCACGCTCCACTGCACGCCAGACTTCAAGCAACAAGAGCCAGCCATGACTCATCTCCTGAGGTGGGCGGTTTTTGAGAAGAAAATGTGGTCTGGAGTAGCCCTTGAAAATGTGCGGAAAAATACGATTTGCCTTGTCAAAGACAAGACCGATGCTAATCTGGCCCAGCTGAAACGAGCAGGCGGTCATTGGCACAGCAAAGACGAGTTTGTACAGTTATTAACTGCAGCATGCATCGACTATGGTCGTTCTTTCGGAGTGTCGGCAGCGTGAACGGTGAACATAAAAGTAAAGCGAAAGCCCAGGGCATTGTCTTTTCAAAGTATAGACTTTAAGACATAAGCCATCATCAAGGCAGGCCAAGCGGTCTCCTCCTAGTTGAGTAGGACAGCTTGAGACAAAGTGCTTTCCACTAAAGGTAAGGCAGGCCGACATGGTCTCCTAACTTAACAAAATTGTCAAAGCTAAGGCAGGCCGACATGGCCTCCTCACACTTCGCGGCAAGGTGCCCCCAGGGTCACCTCGCGAAGCCGGGCCGGTCTGGCTCTGCGAGGAGCCTCGCGAACCCGGACCGGTCTGGCTTTGCGAGGTGACCCTGTTAAATCCCTAGGGTCACCTCGCGAAGCCGGGCCGGTCTGGCCTTGCGAGGGAGGGGAGTTAAAAATCGGTGCTACCCTGGGAAATGGCTCGCACAGGGTTGCGTGGATTTTTAACAGGGTTCCCTCGCGAAGCCGGGCCGGTCTGGCTCTGCGAGCAAGCCCTGTTAATGCCCTAGGGTCACCTCGCGAAGAATTTCACACTTTTTCTTGCGAGGCAGGGGTGGGTAACCCGGCAAGCAACTTAGCCGCCTGCGCAATGTCTATGCTCACAGAGGAATGTAGTAATTTACGATATGTCTTGACACCTGACATTACTCACCTGAGATTCAACAAATCTGTGTTGCAGTGCTAGAAGTCTCACATGTGTTGCAGTGCAAGCGTAGGGCCTCACTCACTTAGAGCATGCTGCGGACAACGGAAGTCGCACAGAGTAAGCTGGAGAAGCTCGTGGGGAAGCTCAAGGCTTACGTGAAGGAGCACAAAGCTCGGCCATTCCAACCAAGGCCAAAAGGTTCCAAGCTCCGAGTTTTTTCTGACTGCGCTGGAATCAGCGCTGAGACTATCGCTTTGACACTACTAGGACTCAAGCAGTTTTTCACCATCGTTGGTGGAAGTGAAATTGACGAAGTGAAGCGATGTCTCATTGGTGTGGTTCACGAAACCTGCCGGACCAGCTGTAAGTCAGAGTCTTTTGCCACAGACATCTTCCAAAGAGACCCCAAAGATTCCCCAGGTGCCGACATCTACCTGGCAGGGTTTCCTTGCCCTGCATTTTCGAAAATGGGACGCAGATTCGGCTTGCGGGATTCGTTAAAGAGGCATTCCATTGGTGGCTGGACTGCGGTACATAGCCTACCACAAGCCGCCCGTAGTTTTGCTGGAGCAAGTGACTGGCTTCTTGGAAAAGAAGCATTGGCTGGCCCAGAAGATGCTTCGCAAAACATTTGCTGCTTGCGGGTACACGGTCCGTGCAAAAGTCTTGCAGACTTGCGACCACGGCTTGCCCCAAAGCAGACCCCGTCTTTGGGTCGTGGCCTTGCGAAATCCCATTGCCGAATTCCGGTTTCCCAAGGCCTTGGGGAAGTGTCCTCCGATTGAATCCATCTTGGACGTCGGCAAAGTGGGAGATGAAGTACTGGATTTGAGCAAGTTTGGCCCAAGCACTGCAACCGAGAAGCTTCGAACTGGCTACTGGATCCTGGACGTCGCCTCGTCCGCTCGGTTCACCAGCATTCCCAAGCATCGGGTGAGCCCTTGCCTCACCCGTAGCCGGTGCAAAGCTCGTGGCTACTATGTGCCCCGCTTGGCTCGGCGGCTGTCAGTGGAAGAATTTTCCCAGCTGCAAGGCATTCCAGTCAGCATTTGCCGAAACATGGTTCGAAAACTTTTGGCCGAGCACGCAAACGACAAGAGGTTCACCCAGGCCAGATGCGAAAACGAAGTGGCAGCAGCATTTGGAGATGGAATGAGCTTGAATGTGCTTCAACGGGTCCTCAGTCGGGCACTGGCTGCGAGCGGCTTGTGGCCATCTCAAGTTACTAGGACAGATTTTTGGGCATCCCCAACTGCATTTAAAGATGTTGACCACACCTTCCAAGGAGAAGCGGCCAAGTGAGCGGTATAAAAAAGAAAAGCAGCCAGCGTTCTTTTGTTTCACTCCTGCTTTGGCGCGATTTTCCTGTGATGTTTGCACTTGTGGCTGAGGCAGCCGGAATGTATTATTTTTCACCTATACCGCAGCATTTTCACTCAAACAGCGACGGCTTTGTTCTTAGACTCTGACCTAGGTCATGGGCGGCCCTTCAGCATGGAGGTTGAACAAGGCGGAGCAGAACCAAGTTAAGAAGGACTTGGCCGAGTGGGAAGCTGAAAATGCTCAGCTCCGGGAAGAGGCTCGAGACGAGTATGACAGAAAGCACACAGAGGAGAAGAAGCGCTTGGAGAGGGTTTTCCAGGAAGCCAAGCACTTGAAGAGCTTGCAGAAGCAAAGCGCCAAGGCTAACTCTGCTCCCAAGAATCCAGCAGACCCAGCCGGCAGCAGCTGTGTTGTTGGGCCAGGCCTGAAGGATTCTGGGGTGAATGAAGCCTACTTGCAGGGCTTGAAGAACGATTTGCAGGTGATCGCAGACAAGCTTGGCGACCTCAAGTCGGAGCTTCCCGTCCCGATCGTCCAAGCAAACGATGACAAGGGCGGAGTGCAGGAGCATGCTGCAGCTTCAAATGACAAGATGACTGACATGACGACCCCCTAACATCGTTTAATTTCATATTTTCCTGGCTCATTTTAAACCAGGCATGGACTCTGTAATCAATCAAAGTAACATATAATAAATAACCCATTGCATTGCCCCTCAGCCAGGAGCCTTTCCACCTGGAGGATGCTGGCAAGGCCCTTGATGGCCAAGGTTTGTACATCTCAGCCTGCAATCTGATGTGGGTTGATCTGTATCGCACATCCAATCCATCGGTGCCGCTTTGCAGAAAGAGGGTGGAGGACTTGGGCTCCCATTACTTCGGCTCGGGGCACTCTTTCTTTCGCTCGGTCCTCGAAGTTGCCGTGGTCAAGGAGGAGCTCTCTGACAGGCCAGCCGGTCTGAAGCTGATCAGCCCGGAGGAACAGGCCCACGCCATTGTCTTTGCTTGCGCAAAGCGCTTGAGAGAAGCCGACTGCAACGAGGAAGAGAGGAAGCAGTGGCGGCTGACTTTGCGGCTTGGTTTTAATTTTCAAAGAACAGCTAACTTTTTTTTTTTCGGGAGGCATACTTTGATTATTAATGGGGTCGGTAATTTTTTTAGTGTTTTGTACCATCATAACATTTTGTCACCATGCCAGCCTCAGGTTGGGAATTCCCACTTGCATGGTGCTGTGCGCTGAGAAGGACATTTGGCACAAGGCGATCAGCCGAAGGCAACAGGTCATGCAGGAGCATGAATCCATGGCGAGGACAGCCTTCCAAATGAGCGCAGAGCTCGTCAGTTTGAAGGCCTCTGTGTTGCGAAAATCAGTTGTGATTGATTTGTTTTTTCCAGATTTTTTACGCGGCTTTCTAGCATCGTCAAGTTTGCAGGCCATGCTCGAATCTGTCGAAAACCGTCGGCTCCAAGACTCTGAAGTGGCTGCCCTGGTCAAGACCTACCCCATCACAACTGCGAAGACTTCTGCGAATTCCAACGGCGGCATCTTCACAGAGTGGAACTTCACCGCTGCTGGACATGTCATGCGGCAGCTTGGCTCAGATGACGAGGTCTTGGAAGTGATCCGAGTCTTGGAGAGCAAGCATGGACTTGACAGCTGCCTGAACAGCTTGGTCAAGCTTGAGAAGCTTGCCACTAAACCCAGTGGCAAAGCTGCCAGGCGCTGGATTTTTCAGATGCTCTTGGACCATTTGGAGCATGGGCTGGCAGAGAACGAAGACATCAGCAAGAAGGCGTTGCTGGGAGACAAGCACACGGCTGGTCTCGTGGTGTTGTGGGAGTGGAAGATGAAGCTTCTCAACTACATCTGTGACACCCTCATGCTGCAGGCCAAGATCTCAGAGACTGACCGGGAGGCAATCAAGTCCAGATGCCGGGATTGTCCTTCAATGCGGCAAGCCTGTGAAGACAGCGTGCAGTGGCAGGCTAGCATGTCCAGGTCCGGGCAAGAGGCTTTGCGTTTCTTCCAGGATGTGGTCTTCCTCAAAACGTTCGACAACTTGTTGAAGGGCATTTGCGAAGGAGTCAGCACCAATCCGGAGGTCGTCTTGGAATTGGACTCCATCAACGAGCGCTGGCAGCAGGTCATCGCAATGCGCCAGAACGAGCTTGCCCAGAACCAGGCAAAGGAAGCGGAGCTCAGCGACGGTGAAGATTCTCAAGATGAGGAGGCTTTGCTGACAGAAGCCAGGAAGGCCCCAACACTCTGAAGCAAGGCAGCCCGAGCTATTGGAGAGCAGTTGCCAACAAGTCAGTCAGGATGTACTTGACCTTCGTCACGGAAGGCAAGAATGATTCTCAGTTGCAGCTCCAAGTTTCCCAATGGCAAGCAGCGACTGGCTTGCAGCCTGAAATTGGAAAGAAGACCCTGTTGGTGCACCTCGACACCGCGCTGCTTGGAGAATCTTCTGGCCCTCACTGCCAAGCGGAGCTCCGAGGCAAGCGCTGGAAGCCAGCTGCTTGGCTCAATTTTTTTTTGAACATTTTTTTCAGTCAAAGAGTCCACACTGCGGTTTCAAAATTTTCATATTATTGCGCGGCTGCTGACTGAGGACATTGACCTTGTCGAGAAGCTTGCTGCTTGCCCTTGCATCGCCTTGGGGGCACAGTCAGTGGAGAAGGTTCGTTGCTCTGTGCCTGCCGAAGGGGTTGTGGTGGCTGTGGTAGACCCGCTGAGCGTTGGCCCCAAGCTCTTCAAGGAAGCTTCCAAGCAGTCTGTGTGGCTGATGTTCAATGAGAAATCGGTTCGTGAAAGGAAGCAGATCGTCAGAGCGGGCGCCTACAGCCAGCAGATGCTGTGCAACCTCTACAGTGAGAAGCCATTGAGTTTGACCATGCCCGAGGTTGAGCGCAAGATCTATCCCGGCTTTAGCCACGGCGACGTCATCGGGTACATTTCTTGCTTGGGCCCTTCGAAGCTTTGGCAAGTTCCCAGGCTGGTGGTTCTTAGCTTTAGCTGTTTGTCGTGTCAAATATAGTCAGCGTTTTTCAAAACATCTTCGCTGCCCCATTGTCAGGAAGGACAAGCTCGACATCCTTGGCAGCCGGCACGTGTTCATTCCGGCCAACTCAAGCCAGCAAGGCGACGGCCAGCCGGCAGAGGATGCGGCAGGAGCTGGAGAGCTTGAGAGCGTGTTCAGTTGCTCCATGCTGCTGGTCGAGTACTACATGGAGATGGTCCATTCCCTGAGCTGCATCGGCATTGTCGACGCATCTCCAGCACAAGGACCGCAACCCGTGTTACTTAAGTCATTGGTTTTTTTAACTTCATCGGAAAATCTTGCAGGAGAGCTCCTGAAAGCAGCGATGTCTTCTCGCACTCCTTGTCTTGCAATCTGCGGGACGGATGGACATTGCAAGAAGCTTGAGATCATGTTGACGGAATACATCTACGAAGAGCAGCAGCGGGATGGATCCACCTACTACATCCCTGAGATGACGGTCAAGAGCCAGAATGACGAGCCCAAGCCCAAGTCAAAGGCCAAAGCAAAGCCGGTGACCAAGAAGCGCCCCAAGAAGAATGAGACGGCGCCGGGTGACGGTGACGAGGAGGCGGAGGCCCAGGGCGAAGAGCCTGAGCAGAAGAAGCCCAAGACGACGAAGAACAAGACGAAGAAGAAGAGTGTCGAAGACGAGGGCGCTGCCTCTGACGGTTCAGGGTCGAGCATGGCCTGGTAGATATTTTTGGCGTCGCTATTAACTTGTGACGGGTATCATTGTCACTGAATCTGTGACAGTGCGGGGAGCCTGCAGTGAGAGCACTGCGCTGGCCAATCTTGATCTTTAAGTCGTTTGTTCTCCTGACTGATGCGCAAAGGAGGATAAAAGCTGTTGTGTGCGTTTTTTTGCTGTGGCCACTGTGAAAGCTGTTCAGAAATAAGTTTTGCCACAGCCTCGGCCTGACTCACGACTAAGTAACTTTAAATAATTTAACGGTTCCTCCTCACTTGGCTGTACCCACTCCCACGGCAGCCTTGGCTGCAATGTTTGTGTCATTCGTTTGAGCCTAGCCATGAAGTGGACTGACCTTCTGGCCTTAAGGCGCACTTTGCGGGAGTTCGTTGATTGGGATGACTATGTGGTGCACGAGATGGAACGCCTCCGCAATGGCCTCTACTACACCGCACAGCTCTGCGATGGCAGCGCTGTGCCTGCACTCTCCTTGTGCCACGACGTGTTGACCAACTTGCGCTTTGGCCTTCCTCACATCACACAGGCTGAAGACTTGGAAGAAGTCCCAATGTCCGTGCTGCGTTTTCCACATCGAGAAGTACCAGGCTTTGAAAACTTACCAATGTTTGTGCGGTTCAATGAGCTTGGGCAGACTAGGCCTCAGAGGGATCAATCCATGACTGAGGCTTTGGCCGCCGTGGGAGACTTAGGCATTTTTATCAAGGCTGCAGAAAGATGCGGCGGCCTGGAAGAATTCCAAGATGACTTACAGGTCGCCTTGAAGACGATGTCGCAACTTGCCCGTGCATATGCAGATTACTTGGCGCCCTGGATTTGAATGGCATGTGTCCCTGCAGCAGTTTAAAATGACAGGTTAGTCGTCTCCTTCGCTTTAAAAATTTAGAGTGGCAAGGAGGCTTAAATAATAATAAGTCTCCTGAAACCCCAGTTACATCTGACAAGGAAGCTTACACCAGCTAAGCCTCCTAAATTTGAATTGGTTGATACATGATAATCGTTCAATGTCAAGGAGGCAGCCAGCTGCCTCCTAACTTGGGAGGCGCCAGTTAGTTTGCTGGAGGGCGCCACCGTGCGCAGCGGGGAGGGGCTGCGCACTAAATAGTCTTACGCAAGCAACATCAAAGGGCAACAGGGGCAACAAACAAGCTTCGGCAAGTCACTCACTCACTCACTCACTCCCTCACTCACTCACTGTACACTCACCCACCACGCTCTGCAAGGGTCGGATGTACGCCCTGGCGTCCCTTGGTCTCCGTTGCTCTGCCGGTGGCTTTTGCGTGGCAGGCGCGGCATTTGGTGCTCTGCAAGGGGTCGGATGTACGGTGTGGCGTCCCATGGTCTCCGCTGCGCTGCCGGTGGCTTTTGCGTGGCAGGCGCCCCTTAATCTCCGCTCTGCCGGTGGCTTTTGCGTGGCAGGCGCAGCACTTGGTGCTCTGCAAGGGGTCGGATGTACGCCCTGGCGTCCCTTGGTCTCCGCTGCTCTGCCGGTGACTTTTGCGTGGCACGTGGCACTTTGTGCTCTGCAAGGGGTCGGATGTACGCCCTGGCGTCCCTTGGTCTCCGGTGGCTTTTGCGTGGAAGGCGCGGCATTTGGTGCTCTGCAAGGGGTCGGATGTACCCTGCATGAGTCTCCTAAAATAGTAAAATTTAGGTCGGCAAAAATCTACGTAAAATTTTGGATTTAGGTCGAAAAAATTACCTTTTTTTTTACTTAGCTTAGTAAATATTTTCTATTGAAAAACATTTAGGTATATACCTAAATTGATTTAGGTATATACCTAAATTGATTTAGGTATATACCTAAATTGATTTAGGTATATACCTAATTTTTTTGTCGTGTTTTTCACATAGATAAGTTAATACTTTTTGGTTGATTTTATTGTTTTTTTAAAGTTTTTGCTGTTGTTGTTTTTTTAACATTTTGAATGGTGTGTCTTGTTGGCACTGATCAAGTATAACACTGTTTTACATGTTTTATTTTGGTTTGATTGTGGTGATGGCTGTGTGTTGATGATATTTTCTTTCTGATGAACATGTTTGTTTTCTATTTGCTGCTTTCTCTGTTGGACTTGCGTATGTTACTTGAGTTTTTTTGTACTTGGGCATGTTAGTTTTGTGTGGTTATTTGCTGGTTATTTTTGGGACCTGTGTGTGTTACTTGAGCTTTTTGCACTTGGGCAAGTAAGTTGTGTGTTTACTTGTGCATCTTGGATTTTGCTTTCGATTCCTTATATTAGGGGTACTGTTTTGTGTTTGTTTGAACTTGTTCTTTGATGTTTTTTACTTGCGACAACTGTTTTACTTGAGAAATGTTTCTGCTACTTGTGTGATGTTTTTGTGTCTACTTGTTTTTACTTGAGCATGTCCAAGTGTAAGTTGCAGTCTGTGGGTCTTTTCCATGGGTAGAATTTGCATTTCAATATTGGCTCAAGTAACTCATGTGTGACTCATATTTTCTTTTCTAGTTGGTCGCCATTTTGGCCTTGTGGGCATTGAAGCCTTTGTAGAAGGTCTTGGCCTTCCTTTGACTTGGGGCATGGCTGTACTAGATGTGTTATTGCTGTTGTTTTCTATGTTTTTTATTGCAAACCAAATCTTCACTGATATCCTTTTGCATTGTTTGCTCTTGTTTTGCACTTGTTATGCGATTTTTGTGCACTTGTTGTGCATTTGTTTGCAGTTTTTATGCATTTCTTATGCACTTTTTATGCATTTGTTTACGCACTTTTTATGCACTTTTTATGCATTTTCTATGCACTTTTTATGCATTTTTTATGCGTTTTTTTATTCGCTTTTTATGCGCTTTTTAGGCGCCCTTAAAAAGCGCATAAAACGTGTATACACTTTTTAAAAATGTGTATGCACTTTTTATGCGCTTTTTAAAAGCGCATAAAAAGTGCATAAAAAGTGCATGAGGATTTTGACCAAAATCAACAAAAAATAACACAGAACAACATCAAAACCAACCAAAACACACCAAAACCAGTGTACTTTCATTTGAGTGTAATCACCAATATCACAGAAACATCAAAACCTAATATGATTTTTAGCTTAGTTCATATCAAGGAAATCAGTGAAGTACCTTCCATGTTCAATAGAATACAGGTAGCACAAGTAAGACAATTGGTGTGGCAAATCCTCAAGTAATAAAAAGTAATCTGCAAAGGCCTTCCATTTTCTCAAGTGCTTATGTAGAAAACAGAAACAGTGCAATATCTCCAATTCCCTCAAGTAAGATATGTTTTGCTTATTGTGCCAAACCTGAACCGGCACAACAAGCAAAAACACAATGCCCATCTTTATTTTTTGCAGAAAATCACCCAAATGGTGTTTTTTTCTGATTGCACCGCACCTGGCCCAATACTATTCTTATACAAGAACACCAGCTCCATATATTTTTCGGGGGACATCACTGACATGGTGTTTTGCTTATTGTACCAGACCTGACTTGGTACAATAAGCAAAAACACGACTACAATATGTAACCAGCCAGGATCCCAAGTAACTCAAGTAAGGCATGGTCCACAAGTAATCAGCCAGGTCCTCAATACACTAGATGGTAATGGCAAAAAAATGCACCAGTGATTTCACTTGAAACCACTTACTTGAGTCTTCTTACTTAAGCCATTATATTTGAGCATTGTCTTGAAGTCCTTTTGCTTAAAACATCTTCAATGAGTACAAGTTCCTTGGGCATGGTGAGCTACTTTCTTACATGATCATTTTATTTACACCTCAAACTTGTACCAAAAAAAGAACAAATCATAAACCTGAATGCATTGATTCCATCTCAAAAATTATAGATTTCCAAAACATTTGTTCACTAGTTTTGTATGTTTTTCAACAAAAACATATACAAAAAACAGCTTCCAAAAAACGAAGAAAAATTAGGTATAAACCTAAATTGATTTAGGTACATACCTAAATCAATTTACTAATTTTGATTTTTCAAGCTTTTTTAAAATCTAAATTCTTCGATTTACGTAAATTTTGAAAATTAGTAAATTTACTATTTTTGGAGACTCAGGGTACGCCCTCCCTTCATCTCCGGTGGCTTTTGCGTGGCAGGCGCGGCACTTGGTGCTCTGCAAGGGGTCGGATGTACGCCCTGGCGTCCCTTGGTCTCCGTTGCTCTGCCGGTGGCTTTTGCGTGGCAGGCGCGGCACTTGGTGCTACGCCCTGGCGTCCCTTGGTCTCTGCCGCTCTGCCGGTGCCTTTTGCGTGGCAGGCGCGGCACTTGGTGCTCTGCAAGGCGTCGAATGTCACTCTCACTCAATCACTCCGACTCACTCACTCACCCACTCACTCCCTCTCACTCACTCACTCACTCACTCACTCCCGCACGCACGCACTCACTCACTCACGCACGCACGCACTCACTCACTCTCACTCTCACTCTCACTCTCACTCTCAATCTCACTCTCACTCCCACTCTAACTCTCACTCACACTCACACTCACACTCACACTCACACGCGCACGCACACTCACACTCACACTCACACTCACACTCACACTCACTTTCACACTCACTCTCACTCTCACTCTCACTCTCACTCTTACTCTCACTCTCACTCGCACTCGCACTCGCACTCGCACTCTCACTCTCACTCCTCTCACTCTCACTCTCTCACTCTCTCACTCTCTCACTCTCTCACTCACTCACTCACTCACTCACTCACTCACTCACTCACTCACTTTCACTCACTCTCCCTCACTCACTCATTCACTCACTCTCACATCCCTCACTCACACACACACACCACACTCAGATCACTCACCCACACTCTCACTCACTCACCTGTACATGCACATACATACACACACACACAAGCTCACCCACCATCACCCCTCCATCACTCTTATACTTCCTCTTCCCTTCTTGCTTTTCTATGCTCAGTCTAAGCCTAGAGAAGTTGGTAACATGTGGGGTTATCTGGTCCTATAATTGGTTTCTGTTGGTGGGTCATTACCGAGTTGATGTTCCATTCATGGCAGGGCGTGGCCCAAAATCCTTGACCCACATACTTGGATACCAAGATTGTTCAAATTTCAAATGATTAAACCACAATTTCTAATGGCAATCTGTTTAATTAGTCGGACCACGGCCTTTAGAAGGCCGTGGTGTTTTGTACACATCGGTGGGGTGGGGTGGGGTGGGGCATGTAATAACGTTCATGTGAACTTGCGGAGCTTGTCTGTGGCTGCCGGTAGGTGCATGTATGCACAGGTGGGGTGGGGTGGGGTGGGGCATGTAATAGCGTTCATGTGAACTTGCGGAGGAAGGACATGCTTGTCTGTGGCTGCCTGGACAGGTCCAGCATCATTTGCCCTGATGGAAACCGAGCTTGGAAGTTTGCCGCAGAACGCCGTGGTATCCCTGTACAAAGTGTAGTTCATCAGGTAAAGAATTTTACATCTGAAGGACCGAAGATGTTTCGTGGTGTTTCCAACATTGCACACAAACGTTGGACCGGTCTTGGAAGTCTTTGAAAGATTTCTTGCTAGCTCACATGGTTTTGAAACACAAAGACCGTGGGCATTCGACGATGCACCCGTCAGTGACACAATATGTGTTCATGTGGTGCTGGCGTTGTACCTCAAACAATCCAGATCCGCAAAGGTTCTTGGAAGAACTCGAAGCGTTGCTGTGACCAACACAGGAATCAAAACATGTCAGGTTGAATATTTTCAGAGTTCTCACAAACCCCAAAACTTGTATTTTCGTCTAGGCGAAATGATTGTTTTTGAAAATATGCACCAGAATAAGGGGTTAACAAACGGCCTTAAAAACCACATCAAAACATGTCAGGTCGAATTAGTTTGGGAATTCTCAAAAACCTCAAAAATGGTAGTTTCGTCTAGGCGAAATGCCTGTTTTTGAAACTATGCAACAGAATAAGAGGTTAACGGCCTTAAAAATCACATCGAACAAAGTCCTATTGGCACGAGCACATCAAAAATCATTCATGATACACCGTTGATCACAAAAAACCCACGGCCTTCTAAAGGCCGTGCTCCTAGTTACAGGCTGTTTTTATTATTCACAATGATAGATATTCCAGTATATCTACCCTGTCACCAAATAATAACGATGAACATCATCATGATTATAGTGATCATTATCTTCCCCCGCAATTCTAATTATCAATGGCTGCATATCCCTTACATCACATAAATATCACCAATTTCAATTGGCTGGTGTGGAAGCTGCAGGAGCTCCTGCGGTGAACGTGTCCGTGCTCAACCAGCCGCCTGGATGCCGAAAAGTTCAAAGCTGGAAAAGGTGGAGAAACCATCATCGAAGTACCATCCTGGCAATGCATTTCTATTTTTTTCGGGTTGCTATTAGTATAATATATATATATATATATATGGACTTATACGTGTATATACACACACTCATACACATTTATACATACAAATGATATTGTATATTCATTTATTAATTTATATTGCATATATAGAACGATCGGGGGATAAAGTGCAACAACATGATGGACCAGCGGTGATGGATGGCATTTCCTGATTAACAGTCATGTTGCAATCATTGGGCAGCGTGAAACACTGTAGATTGTAGATGTTTGTCCCGCAACGTGGCTGATGCTCGCAGCCTGGAGGTGTTTGGATCATTGATGCCGCAGCCATTTGTGTGATCCAAAGGAACGCTGGACGGCGCGAGCCCAAAGGAACCCGGACCCCAATGATTTTCGCCGTGCGAAACATTGTGATCAGCACCTTGGTTTGGTTCCGAAGCCGCCTCAAAATGGGGTGAAGGATGACGCTCGGATAGGCGACCGTTTGATTTCTGGCTTGGGAATTCATGTCATGTAATGTACACTGTACACTCTGATTATTTAGCATAGCTATGGAAAGTTGCCCATTTACAGATGATTTATGATGAATTACCCATTGAAACATGGTTATTTTCCATAGCTATGTTGAATTACCAGAGGGTAAATAGTGAAATTGGCCCAGAATGAGCCAGTCGCGCCAAGTTGTTGCGTTACTTGCAAGTCTGCGTGTGCTGCATTGTATGCATGTCACGGAGGTTTCAATATTGAAAATGTGGGAACCCCAGAAAATTCACATGGAATCTCAACATGTCATTTCCACTATGATGTTATGATCCTTTAAGCCAATTTTTGCAGGTTCCTGGTCGTTTTGAGGATTTTCCTACGAAGAAAGTTCGGCGAAGTTGCTGGTCTTCCAGGTGGAAAGTCTTTGAAATTGTCGTTCTGACGTCCGACGCTGAGGCTTGTTGGTGCCAGTTGTGAGTGGATCGTGTTTGTCTGACGCCATCCCACCTGCAAACCGGCAGAACCTTGTCGCTCCCTTAGACTGACCCGGATCAACCGGAAAAGCGACATGTTTCGTAGTTGCCGGTAGATGAAGGTAAAATGTCCGTGACGTCAGGTGGAAGATGTGTATCCAACCTGTGCACATTTTTTTCACAGAGGTTGATAGCTGTCACATTGTGTCAAACGCATTTAGTTATTGCAGATGATCCCTCGGGCAAGGATTTTCCCATGGGCTGTCATACTACTTCCATCGCCGACAAACTGGTTACCTTTTGCATCCCTTTGCTATTCTAGCCCGGCATTGCATATATATATATGATATGATATGATATGATACGTATGTATATTATATATATATGATTGTTATACATCTGTAATACTATACATTTCAGCTTTGATTCCCAGAAATTCTACTTGTTGTTTTCCAGAGTTTTTGGCTGTCGGCCAACATTTCGTAACGGTGAGGTGAACCCCAATGGTGAGACCTATCCTGTGCCTTGGATTTGCTGAATCCCAGACTTGGATGGGAAAATTGTGGAACACCTGCTTCGGACAGTTTTGTTTTTAACAGATGATACATATGATGGAGGTTTCCTAAAATATAATCCCAAAATTAGACCATCTTAGTATTGAAACACATGGTTCTGTGTTTTGTTGATCCCCCATTTTAAGAAACCACCATATGTTTGTTGGCGTATTCACCAGGTACTCATAGTTTTCACATGGTTTCCATATGGTTTCCATATGGATTCCTGTAGATTTTCCCTGGCATCCAGCCATGGAAATTGGAGAGGTTGGTGTCTACATTTCGAACTACGCCGCCTCCTTCGCCGCTCAATATCTGGGGGCTGCCATCATCGAGGCGATTTGGGATTTGGATCCCAAGAATTCGAGGGAAACCGACTGGATGGATAGTCCCTTAAGATCCGTTATAAGTAGTCAGCAGGATACATGGACTAAATATCACTTGTGCACTTACGAATAAGTAGGATTTTCTAGTTCATACCCAGATAATACTTTTTCGTACTCCTTAATTTTGCTCTAAGATTGGCCCCTATAAGTGGAATATCCCATGTTTTTCAGTAGGGTTGGTCAACCCACCCAACTCCCTCCACCTAATCACTGCGCCCACTTGACTTCCCACCTTCCCCCCCGTCACGGTCGCGATGCTAGCTCCGCTTTCTATCAATGGCCATTCCAGGAACCCAAACTGGAGGTACCTACCATATATATCCATATAAAAGGCCTATGTAAGGCCCATGTAAGGGGATATACCCCCAAAATATGGCCTTATATGATACGGTACCTCCATTTTAGGATCCTGGAATTCCCATTGATTCTATGTTTTTTCTCTCTCTCTCTCTCTCTTTCTTCTCTCCTCTTGCCTTTCCCTGCTTGGCTTTTGTTCACCAAGGTTTGGGCCTTTGCGAACCGTTTGTTGCACCTTTTGCGTCATAGAATGGGCTAGTGCCCGGGTGCCGCCGACCCCCCTTCTGGGGGGTTGGGCTGAAGGTGGTTGGTGCGGTGCATGCTTGATTGATGATGATGAGGATGATGGTGATGATGGTGATGATCATGATGATCATGATGATTATGGTGATAATGATGATGGTGATGGTGATGGCCATGATGATGATGATGGTGATGATGATGATGACGATGAGGAAGATTACGATGATGAAGATGATGAAGATGATGAAGATGATGATGATGATGACGACGAGGAAGATTATGATGATGAAAATGATGAAGATGATGATGATGATGGTGATGATGATGATGATGACGATGAGGAATATTATGGTGATGATGAAGATGATGAATATGATGATTATGATGGTGATGATGATGATGATGACGACGATGAGGAAGATTATGATGATGATGATGAAGATGATGATGATGATGATGATGATGATACTGATGATGATGATGATGGTGATGATGATGATGTTTAAGCGTTTGAAGGGTTTGAAGCGTTTAAGGGCTGGCAAACGGCAGGCTGGATCGCCCAGAAGAAGCCATTGATGTGGCCTTGGGGTGCCTGTTGGCTGCGGGATTAGGCATGCCAAAGCGCTGAGGGCCTGGGAAACGGCAAGCTTGAACGCTTATAAGAAGCGATTGGTGTGGCCTTGGGGTGCCTGTTGGCTGCGGGATTACTGCGTGACCCCCCCCTTTAAAACCTAGGTTCTATCAAGTTATAACTAGGCTCACAACTCAGCTAAGATACAATCGTAACTCCATAACCTGTGTTTTAAAGTTATGATACTTATCATCCGATTTTATGATGATTAAGTTGGATTATGTTATTTATGATGTTTACTAAAAATGTCTAACTTTAGCATAATCAACATAAGTCAACGTAATTCAACATAAGTCAACATAAATCAAGATAAGTTTTCTATACATTTTATTTAGATTGCCAAGCATGGACATTTGATCAGTTAAAGACAAGAGGCCAAAAAATAAGCGTGCTCATATTTTTCCCGAATGCGTAGCAAGGGTTCCCGTTTCACTCTGGGGGTCTGGGGGTTGAGGGTGTGTTCGCTCGACGTTGCGTTCGCGAGCGCAACCGTCCGCAACCGTCCGCAACCGTTCGTACGAACTCCGTATGGCCGTGCCTATGGGAAGTTTTGCAGAGGTGGTCCTTTTTGGAGGTTTCAGACGTGTCGTTGCTTCGTTTCGCGTGGCAGGCGTGGCACTTAGTGACATTCAGACGTGTTCTGCAACGTGTCGAAAGTCGTTTTGCGTGGCAGGCGCAATACTTTTGCGACGTTTTCAGAAGATGTGTTGCAGTTTTCGTGGCAGGCGCAGCACTTTGGGCGTGTCCATCGTCATTTTTCGTGGCAGGCGCAGCACTTTAGACGTGTCGCGTTGCGTGTTTTTTGCAAATCGCATTGGCAGGGCTGCGTCAAGTGGCGACAAGGTGCAAATTCCGTGGCAGGCGTGGCATTTTGTGCGATGTGCTGAAAATTGACGGAAGCCTCGCACGAAACATCGATTTTGATGTTGCCAATTTTCGGGTTCTAAGGAAAACTCGTAGGAAAACGTCGATTTTGAAGCTGCAAAGTGTGAAAATTTGAGGAAGTCTCGCACGAAATGCTTGTTTTGGTGCTCCCACGCGTCTCGTCTCGAGTCTCTGGTTTTCCCGTGGCCTCGCCGTGTCTATGGGGGAAGCTGCAAAACCTGTCCTTTTGTCATGTTGCCAACTGTGAAAATTGGAGGACGTCTCGTACGAAATGCTGGTTTTTCTGCCTCCACGTGTCTTGTCTCGAGCCGCTGGTTTTCCTGTGGCGTCGCCGTGTCTATGGGGGAAGCTGGAAAACCTGTCCTATTCGAATGTTTCCAAGCAGGTTGTCATGTTGTTTTGCGTGGCAGACGTGGCACTTTATGACATTCCAACCTGTTTGATACTGTGTTGAAACTGTCAAAATTGGAGGAAGTCTCGTACGAAATGCTGGTTTTTCTGCATCCACGTGTCTTGTCTCGAGTCGCTGGTTTTCCTGTGGCGTCGCCGTGTCTATGGGGGAAGCTGGAAAACATCTCCTATTCGTGACATTCCAACCTGTTTGATAACGTGTCGAAAATATCAAAATTGGAGGAAGTCTCGCACGAAATGCTCGTTTTTTTGCACCCACGTGTCTCGTCTCGAGTCTCTGGTTTTCCTGTGGCGTCGCCGTGTCTATGGGGGAAGCTCCGCACTCCACACTCTACACTTTACACTCCACAATTTACACTTTAGACTGCACACTCTACACTTTACACTCCACACTTTACACTTTGCACTTTACACTCCTCACTCCTCACCTGAGACTTTACACTCCACACTCCACACTTTACACTACACTCTGCACTTTCCACTCCGCACTCCTCACTCTACACTTTACACTCCACACTCCACACTCTACACTTTACACTCCACACTCCACA